TTAGAGATTGAACTAACAGATTCTGCAGAGTGGGAGAATAGAGATAGAATGAAGCAGAATGATGAAAAAGGGGTCCCTATGTCCTCCAGAAGTAAAAAATGACCTGCAGTTGCGTCAGAAGCTGCATTTCTTCCTATTTCTTCCTGCCTAAATCTACTTAAGGTATATACATCAGGAAATATTGCCTTTAGCACTCTGGAATATCTATTTGTTATAAAGTAGGAGTTGTTTTCTTCCAACATGGAAGAAAGACGGTTGTCTTCACTGGGACGTCGCCTCTCCTTACGTTGTACAGCTCTTTTCTAATGTCGCCGTATCGGGCTGAACTCCAAGACGTCTCACAGCTGGAAGCATATTTTCTGGGCTTATGTTGCGTTCAGAGAAAACGGATTTTGATGGTCAAAAAGGCATTTGATCTTGTGCTCAATGCAGTCGGAGGCACATGAAGAGCATTTTAAGCCGTCCACTATAGACTGAAGCAGCACTAGGCGCTAGCTAAAAGACAAGCTGCTGTCACGGTGCAGATTAGCTGCTAAAGGAGCCATGTTTTCTCCACTTTGGTCGCGCTCTTCCTCACATCACGGCTCACTGAACAGAGAAGGTGGGTGTATGGTTTACTGCGCTGCGCAGTCAGGACAGGTGCTTCCTGGAAAGGTCAGGTGATCTCTGACCTCTCATGGTTTCTAGTTCTTTCAGGGCATAGAGAGAGAATTCATGAGGATCACCCAGACAGTCTGAGCTGGACTGTGATGATTAATGACGATGTAACAGTTTAGAAGCGATGCAGCCTTGCTGATGTTCTGCTGTTTGTAGCCCCAGAAAAAAAAGGAGCGACGGAAAGGTAAAGGTGTGGAAGAAGATGACGATGAGAAGGAGGTCATGACGACTTTGAAAAAGCTTTCGGTACAAGCGAGCGACGAGGAAGACGAATCAGGTTTGTTTTCTTGGGATGAGTCTGTGAGCTTCTCTCTGTTCTCTGATGGAAACATTGATTCCTTCTTCTTTCTCTGCAGGATTCATCTCAAACAAAAGAAACAAGAAGAAGGTTCGTTTCTCTCCTCCTGATAAATGCCCTCAGGCTGCATGGGCCTGAGGGGCTAGGGAGGCGGAGTCTTTGCCATAAGCCCCGCCCCCTTCTTTACTGCCATAGACCAAACGGGGAAAAAAAATAAAAAATAGATGTTCTCCCCTCTTCCCCCTGGAAAGAAATGTCTTTTGTATACACTCTGTGTACAAAATGATAAAGTCTGCTTAATTCTAAAGTCCCCCCCCCTTGTCACGTATAAAATCCTCTTTCTCTCTTTTAGACAGGAAACATCTTTGCTGCTCTCAGCCAAGGGCAGAGCGAAGAAGAGGAGGAAGAAGAAGATGATGATGATGATGATAATAAGAATAAGCAGCGTGCAGTGAAGGTAAGTTTTTTTAAAAGACTCTTTAATTAGAATTATTGTCTAAAGTAGACTAACCTCAAAGCAGGAATATTACACTCACAACCTGAGCGGGGGTTATATATATACGTATATGTGTATGTATGTGTCTATATATGTGTGTATATATCTATATATATGTTTGCACATATATATGTTTATATATACGTGTGTATATGTATATACATTAGGGCTGCAACTAACGATTATTTTAAAAATCGATGAATCGGCCGATTATTTTTTCGATTAATCGATGAATCGGACAAAAAATATTTTTTATATTAACCTCTTTA